TCTCTTGCAGCACAGGATTCCACCCACACACAACCACAGAAGCCTTGCCCAGAGTAGCCACCCCAGCTAAACAGTTACAGAGTAGCCACCTCAGCTAAACAGTTACAGAGGGCCCCAGCATCCCTCTTGGGAGCAAAAGGTCCCACCCAAAATTGCTGCCACCTTGCCTAGAGTGACCTACTGCAACACTGGTGATGCAGAGCAACCCAGTGTCCCTCTTGAGGGTGCAGGGCCCCACACACAAACACAGTAACCTCATCAAGAGTGACTCACTTCAGCAGTGAAACTGCAGAGCACATCAGCATCCCTCTTGGGGGCACAAGGCCCTACCCATGGCCTCAGCAACTTTACCAAGTTTCACCCACTTCAGCTGCAGAGCACCCCAACACCTCCTTTGGGGACACATGATAAAGACCAAAGCCCCAGTGACTCCAAAAGTTGTCCACACTAGCTGAGGAGATGCTAAACACCTCATTATCTCCCTGAAAGCCCAAGGTCCTAATCTGAAGCCCTGAGAAATCCCACCTGGTGTCACCCACTTAAGCTGAGGACACCAGCAGAGATACTCAACTGCATCTGTTAAGGTCATGGAATCCTAACCAGGGCAACAGCAAGGCCACCATGGTCACCCACATCAGCTTAAGAGTGATGGGGCAAACCAGCACTTCTCTCAAGAACTCAAGAACTCCTCTCCCATGACTCTGAGTATTCGGTCCAGTGTCACTCACTTCAGCAAGGAACTTCTGAGCACCCTTGTGCCTAGGCCACAAAGGCACTCACAGACAACTCCAATGTTAAATACAATTGAAGTAATCACCCAGATTACACTACTGCCTCTATCCAGAATCAAACCTAAAACACCCTACCCAGCTGTCACTATAGAGCACGCCTACAAGAGGGAGTACTCCAGAGTACTAGGAGAAGTAACTGCTCCACCAGACTCCCAGACATCAATGTAGGGAAATTAGAAATATGAACAAGCAAGAAAATATGACACCCCCAAAGGAACACAATAATTCTATAGTACCAGACCAAATGACAAGAAAACTATGAAATGCCTGAAAAGGAATTGCAAACAATAATCTTAAGGAAACTCAATAATATGCAGAAAAATTCAGGTAGGCAGCAAATGAAAGGAGAAAATCAATCCAGAATCTGAAGGAGGATTTCAGCAAAGAGACAGATACTGTAAAAAGGAACTAAGCAAAACTTTTGGAAATGAAGAATTTATTCAACGAAGTGAAAAATACACCAAGAATTTCTGAACACAAAGACAGGCTGTTTGAAATAACCCAGGCAAAAAACAAAAAACAAAAACAAAAATAAGGGCCAGCCCCGTGGCTCACTTGGGAGAGTGTGGTGCTGGTAGCACCAAGGCCGTGGGTTTGGATCCTATATAGGGATGGCCGGTGTGCTCACTGGCTGAGCGTGGTGCAGACCACACCGTGCCAAGGGTTGCAATCCCCTTACCGGTCCAAAAATAAATAAATAAATAAAAACCAAAAAACAAAGAATAATAATAATTAAAAATAATAAATAAAGCCTATGGAAAAATTTTAAGCATACAAACATCCCAATTGTAGATGTTCTGAAAGGGAAGGAGGGAACAAAAGACATCAAAACCTATTTGATGGAATGATGGCTGAAAACTTCCCAAGTATTAGGAGAGGTTTGGATTTCCAGATCCAAGAGGCTCAAAGATCTCCAAACAGATTCATCCCAAAAAGGTCCTCTCACATTGTAGTCAAAATGTGACTCTGTCAAAAGTCAGAGACAGAGAAGTCTAAAAATAAGAGAATAGCATCAAATCCCCAAAAGAGAATCCTCATCAATCTAACAGCTAATTTCTCAGCAGAAACCTTATGGGCCAGGAAAGAATGAGATGATATATTCAAAGTACTAAAAAACAAAAACAAAACAAACAAAAAAACCTTCCAGCCAAGAATACTAAAGCCAGCAAGGCTATCCTTCAGAAACAAAGGAGAAATAGCATCTTTCCCAGACGAACAAAAACTGATTTCCGTATCAGGATGATGCTGGCCTCATAGAATGAGTGTAGGAGAATGGCCACTGCTGTGATTTTCTGGAATAGTTTAAAAGGAATTGGTATTAATTCTTCTTTAAAAGTTTGGTAGAACTCAGCAGTGAAGCCATTCAGTGGTTCTTATACTTAACAATCACAGAGGAAATAGAGAGACTTTCCCAAGTTTTAGCAAAAGTTCCAAGGATGATTTGCATTGGCCTCATGTCCAAAGGTTGCAGGCGGCCAACTATGAGGCATTTTAACAACAGAAAAAAGAAAGAATCCTGGCAGAAAAAGCAATTAATTTGCTATATTTAGCCTCATAACACTTTGCTTAGATCATCTAGCTTCCTTTTAATTTCTACAGGCTTCTTCATTTCTTTTTAAATTCAAGATATAAGTCTTAGATCTTTCAATTCTCATTTCTTAGTATCCCTGTTTCTTAAACTTTATTGAACACAAAAATCAGAGATATCTAAAATTTGTTTACTGCACTGAATATTTTTCAAAAGTATACTACTCCTCTCACTTTGAGGGCTATGTTCCTCATTTATTAAATTTACTTAACTTTGAAAAATTAAGTTCTTTTCAGGACTTCTGGTGTCGTCAGTCTGGTAAATAAAAGGATTATTCTTTCATTCCTTTTTTTTGCTTAGAATCTTCTTACATCTCAACCTAAAAGACTGGACATACTCTTCATTAATAAAGAATTCTGCGACCTTGTAACAAAACCACTCCCTTCCACAGCTGTCATTCTCTATGGCTCGGCCACCTAATTTCCTGGGTCTACTGGCACAGTGCTCTCCAAATGCATCCTGTCACCTTGCTTCCGCACATCAAGGAAAACCCCACCACTCTAAAAAAAAATCTATCCACTGACCCTTCTCTTAATATAGGTGACTATATCTTGAGTCTCCCTTTTCAGGAAGCCTCGCTTCTGTTTGGCTTCACTAAAATTAATGCTGTTGCCACATAAGATAGAGTTTCTACTGCCTCAGTTACTACCATTATTGATACTTTGCTGCATGCATCCATCCAGGCTACTCAAATTTTTGGCACGGATTACCATAAATTACAATGATAAGCAATAACTAAGCAAACCGAGGAGCTACTTGTCTTTCCGTCTGCCATTTTTTCCCCTCCAACACTTGTCCAAATAAAGTGATTTCCCTAGGGAGCTAGAGTTTCCCTACTCACTTCCTAGACCATGCCTCTTTCTAAACAATACAAATGCAATTTGGCAGATGTATGTTGCTCAAATCTTAAATCATCACTTTATTATAATATAAATATGTGAAAACCTTTAAACTGTGTGATCCCCAAAGAGAGACCTCAGACAGAATTCATTTGTAAATTTATTAAGGACGTGCTCCCAGAAGAGAGCGGTTTAGGAGTAGGAGAAGCAGGATTAGAAACAGGATTAGAAACAGGAGGAAGCCACACAAGAGTGTGCTCTCAGGTAAAGTCCCACAAGGAAACTCTGGAGTGTAAGTTATGCCTCAGTTGTCCTGACCTGTGGTGATGAACTGATTTCTCCGTGTCCCACATCACTGAGGTACTAGTTAAGGACAACCCTAGGGAAATTTAAACCTCCAGAACTTATGGTTTTCCTGCCATCTGGGCAAGGCAGTTTCAGTGGCTGAAGGGCAGTCCTCTCAAAAGAGAGTCACCAGGGCTAGATGTTAAAAGCAAAAGCAAAGACAGGGTGTCCTACCCTCCTGCCCTCACCCCAACAAAAATACATGGTAGAAAGGAAACTGAGGGAATCTGAGCAGAGCGCCAACATTGTCCACTGTGCTGGGTCATTTAAACCATTGTAAATTATACTCCTAAATTCTTAGAAGGTAAACAAAATGTTCATCATTTAGTTAAATATTTATTTTAAATTATACACATATATGTGATAGCATTGAATACTTTGGTGCTGCATGCACATTTCATAGGCCATTTGGGCTCTTATTATTTAGGATATAGGGTTGATGGCTATAGATGATGGCTATAGACAGAAAATAATCGTGGATTAAACAAGATCGGAGTCATTTCTCTCACACACAAAAGTGGGAAGAGGCAGGCGGCTCCGCTCTGTGACTTCTCCAGCAGCAAGGCTCATCCTGCCCGTTTACTCTGCTGCTCCTATGGCATCAGCCTCGTCCTTGTGGACCGTAATGTCCCAGCATGTCCACGCACCAGCCAGAAGGAAAGAGAAAAGGCGAAGAAGATAAGATTGCTCCCCTAGAATTCAGTCCAGAGGTGACACATTATGCCTGCTCACATGTCATCAGCCATAATTTTGTTACGTGGCCCTCCCTAGGTGGAAGGAAATTGAGAAATGCAGCCTTTTGTCATACGCTCAGCCAAACCCTGAGGTTTTGGTGTTTTCTTAACTGAGAGGACGGGAAGAACCAACACTGCCCACGCTCTTGCATAAACTACGCACATTTACCCCAGTGTCACTTGGCTACAGTTTTTCTTTCACAGCTGACTCTATGTGGACCAAACACACAGCTACACAGTCTGTGCGGTGCACGGTCTCCACGGCCATGCCCGGCAGTGCTGCTTATGGCATTTTAATTACATTGATAATTTAATCCATGCAGACTCCTTGGTCATGAATCCAACCCCTTTATAAATATTGGCTTTATCGAATAACTTCCACAAATACAGAGACAAAAGCAGGAACTGAGTTTTTAAGTTGATATTGAATATACACTAGGTAATTTATAGAGAGTGATAAGAATGCAACAAACAACATAAGAACTAAAATAACGTGGAATGTAAAGAGTAAAACGATAGATTGTTGGGAGAAGGAAAGGGTGACGTACGCTTTCCAGGAAATTTGGGGATTAAGAAAAAATGAGAATGTTCACAAAGACAGGATATTTGTTACAGCGGTAAATAGCCTAATAATTTTATTTTCAAAAATAAGTTAAATTGAAGCGATAATGCTTTGAAAGTAGTAACAAAACACACAACTCACTTTTTCACTTATATAAATGTTAAAGTCCATTGGGTGTTTTTCTACGTTACTGATATTCTTGTTAAAAATTGCAAATTCATTGTTTTCATTCCCTAATTTATAAAGAATATGCTGAAATTCAACTGCAGATTCCAGAGGCTCGATTCCATAAGAAACATTTTCAAATTGCAGTATTCCTCTGTAAAATTAAGAATAAAATTTTAAGTGCTTTGAATCAAATCTATATTATGAAACTCTGACAAAATCCAAAAGAAAAAGATAACAAAAGTATATAACATTTTGAAGTCAGTGTTTTGATCCAAACTCTCTGTCTTAGAGATGATTCCGAAGAGACAAAGTATTTCCCTAATCCACAAAACCAGCTTCCTATTTTATTTTTTCATAGTTATAAAAGCAGCAGAAATTAGCTAATCAATTGCTAGGTACACAAGTACACAGCATTGCAGTGATCAAGTGCGCCTGCTCTCCAAGTCAGCGACTTAATTAAAGCAATGGTAAGTAGAAATCTTAATGAATTTCTCCCTGGTTTGCAATGCTTTTAAAAAACAATTACACACTTGCATAACAAAAATTTATAAAATTAACAATTTTATGTATAAAATAAAATATAGCAGTAACTATGAAATAGCATTTATTAATTTTGTTTAGGTACATAGTCTGAATAAGAAATTAAAAGCAAAATTTTAAAAAGTAAACAATTTGTGTAACTATTCTTCCCTAAATATAGGTTCAAATCTCAGTGTTCCATGTAAGAAGCTCTGATGAATATTTGTGAAAACAAGGATCCTACCTACAAAATAAAAGAGAATTTCCTGAAAGAATGAAAACTCTCTAAGCACTAAGGAAGAAACCCAATAATTGTTGCAGAGTTCAAGATAGTGATACGAGAAAAAATATGAATAGATATTAATAATTGCTTATGTATATAACTTCCCTCCCCACTCTGAAGATGATTTCCCTTATAAAAAGCATGTCTTTTTATCTTTATTTATGTTTATACCTACAAACGGTAGGATATATGATGGGAATAATTAATGTTCCATTTGCTGAAAAGAATAATCCTAATCTTAGCTCCTCTGTAGGAATGCTGGTCAGAACTCACTGCATCCTCAAGGCCTTCAGAGCTCTGGCTTCAATAGCTCCAATCTTTCCCCTGCACAGGTTACTTAACAACTGAGGAAGGGAAAGTAATAGAATTCTATGTTTGTCTAAGACAAGGGGAATGACACCAACCACCCCAAGGATAATCAAAGGGAGGCTGCAAGGCACCTGGGAATCTTCGACTTCCGTGGTTTTCTCCCATTGGGATAGCTATAAGCAAAGGGAGGCTGCAAGGCACCTGGGAATCTTCGACTTCCGTGGTTTTCTCCCATTGGGATAGCTCCGCTTTTGTCCCCAAGTCCCTTATAAGCTTCAATTCCTCTTCCCAGCCCCCCTCCCCCAGGGTTGCAGAGGAAGCAGCCACGCAGCACTCAGATGAGTAAATACTCTGCCCAGTCTCTGTAAGTAACCACCCATAAATAATAATAATAACTCCTTGTAAAACATCTGAAGTTATCTGCTACGTTCTTTGGTCTCAGGATACCTCCCCAGTTTGGTGGGCATTATAGTCAGCTCACACTTGGACATTTACCCAACGTACTATAGTCAAGCATGTTCAGCTGTCACTTTAGTTAAGAAAAAAAGATACTGCAAGAAATCTCCACCTTTGAGAGAATTAGAAATGTCTTTGGTCAATAAGGAAAGTGAGGATAAATAAGAGACAAGGAAACATGTTCAGAGGAGAATATCATTAAATAAACTCCACATGGGAATCCTCCTCCAGCTTCACACTTAATATAAACAGAAAAAAACCACTGCAGACAAACATCATGATTATAGTGTTCAATATTCAATGACAGAAAACCACCTCAGTCCAGAGCACGTGCTGAGTGTGACAAAAGAATTTGGATATCCTTCGATATATCCTTGGTAGTAGCATTGAGTCTAGGAAAGAAAAAATTAAAGTGGTTACTTAGAAATTGACAAAACTTTCTAATGGTTTCCTATTTCTATATTCGATAGAACCTTCTGAACATTTTTCACAGGCTACATGGTTTATATCGGTAAAATGGCATTCAGAAAAAAGTCTTTCCCTATCTGTCACTTTTGCTATATTTATTACTCTTTTTAGCTTAAGACTTGGGATAGGTATTTTACACCCTGCTTCCAAAGTGTAATCTTATATTTTAGGTAAAATTACTTTCCAATATATAAACTTAGCTCATCAATTAAAAGACAGAGACTGTGAGTCCGGATTTCTCTTAAAATCTAATATGCTGCCAAAAAGAGACACATAAAAATATAAGGGTATTTCCAAAAGTTTGTGCAAAAAAATTGAATTAAAAGATAATGTGAATTTTTGGGGCCGGCCCGGTGGCGCACTGGAGAGTGCGCTGCTTGGGAGTGCAGCGGCGCTCCCGCCGAGGGTTCAGATCCCATGTGGAGACTGGTTCCCACTCGCTGGCTGAGCGCGGTGCGGGCACAACACCGAGGGTTGTGATCCCGTTGCCAGTCCCCGGTACGGGCGCAACACCGAGGGTTGTGATCCCGTTGCCAGTCCCCGGTACGGGCGCAACACCGAGGGTTGCAATCTCATTACCAGTCAGTAAAAAAGACGAAAAGGAAAAAATAAATAAATAAAAGATAATGTGAATTTTCTATGAACTTTCTGAAGTCGTCTTGTGCAGTGACACAGGAGGATTGAAGGGCTGGATGCCCCGTGCCAACACCAACCAGAGTGATGCTTCTGAAGCTGCACTACACTTCAGGAAATGCAGGTGCTAAGGCAAGAAGCATTACTAAAGATAAAGACGGATGAATCACAGTGGAAGATTTTCAATTCTCCATCAAGATATGAATATTCCAAATTTACTTTACTTTATGAATATTCCAAATTTACTTAAAAGCATAGCTTGAAAATATACAAAGCCAAAATTAAAAGAATAGTAAAAATAGAAAAATCTACAATACTAGTAAAAAATTTCAAACATAATTTCACTCAGTAACTGATAAAGGATTCAAAATGTACAGAAGGTCTGAACAGCATGGTTAGTAAACAGCCTAAGAAATATGTGTAGAACACCATAACTAAAAACTGTAGAATACTCTTTCTAAACACACGTAGAACGTTTACAAAAACAAAACCATATTATGGGCCATAAGGCAGGACTCAACAAATTTCAAACAATTGCAATCATACAGATGTTGGTCTCTGACCAAAGTACAATCAAGTTAGAGATATAGACAGCAACAAACATTGTCAGAAAGAAAAGGAAAATTATAAAAGTCCCAAGATTCAATGACTATAAATTTTGGCATGAAGGTTTTTTATTAACACTCTGCTTTATCATAGAAAAGGAGGAAGGAGGAGCAAGAAAGGAAAATCATGGTCCTGTCCAACTTAAGTAAAGCAACATGATGTCCAATTCAATATTTATTTTTAAATTTTTTTATTGAAACATATTTATTGTACATATAGAGAGAGTACAGCATTACATTTCAATACATGTATAAAATGCACACTGATCTATTCAGCGTGATTAGCCTATTCATCATTCTAAACTTAAACGTTTCTTTGTGATGTGCACATACGATCTCCTCTCTTCCCGTCCTTGGGCACGTGCGTTAAATCATTATTGATTACATGTTTCTGGGTCAGCTGCACACAAATAAGGCTTATTTTTCCTATCTTACTGTAGGTTGTGTTCATTAACCAGACTCACAGTATACCCAATCTCCCCTTTCCCACCCCTATTAACAACAGTGTTTCTCTCTCTCTCAACACTCCAATTTATTATGCTTCTTGGTTTGTTCGATTTATTTTGTTCTCTTTTTTGGCTCCCACATAAAAATGAAAATATATGGCATTTCTCTACCTGTACCTGGCTTACTTCACTTAACATAACTTTCTCCAAGCTCATCCATGTTACTACAAATGGCAGAATTTCATTCTTTATGACTCAGTAGTATTCCATTGTATATATGTACTACATTTCCTTTATCCAATAATCTGTAGATGGACATTTAAGTTGGTTCTATATCTTGGCTACTGTGAACAGAGCTGAGATAAACATGGGAGTGCAGGTGTCCCTTTGACGTGATTTGCATTCCTCTGGGTATGTACATAGTAGTGGGATTGCTGGATCGTATGGTAGTTCTCTCTGTAGTTGTTTGAGGAACCTCCATGCTGTTTTCCATAATGGCTGTGCTAATTTACAGTCCCACCAACAAGGTATACGGGTTCCTCTTTCTTCCCACTCTACCAGCATTTGTTATTTTCTGTCTTTTTGATATAGTCAGTCTAACTGGGGTGAGATGATGTCTCACTGCGGTTTTAATTTGCATTTGTCCAAGGATTAGTGATGTTGAGCATTTTTTTTACGACTGTTGGCCATCTGTATCTCTTCTTTTAAGAAATGTCTGTTCAGTTCCCTTGCCTATTTTTTAAAAGGGTTATTTTTTGTTTGTTTTGTTTTACTATGAACTTGTTTGAGGTCTTTGTATATTCTAGATATTAATCCCTTATCAGACATGTAGGATGTAAATATTTTCTTCCATTCTGTAGGTTGTCCTTTTGCTCTGTTGATTGTTTCCTTTACTGTGCAGAACCATTTTAGTTTGATAAAAACCCATTGGTTTATTTTCCCTTTTGTCACCTGTGATTTTTGAGGTCCTATTCTTGAAATATTTGCCCAGTCCTAAGTCCTGGAGTTTTTCCCCTGTGTTTTCCTCCAGATGTCTTATAGTTTCAGGTCTTACATTTAAGTCTTTAATCTATGTGGATATCCCATTTTCTCAGCACCATTTATTGAAGAGGCTGTCCTTTCCCCAATGTATGTTTTCAGTGCCTTTAGTCAAAGATTACTTGGCTGTAAGTATGTGGATTTATTTCTGGGCTTTCTATTCTGTTCCATTGTTCTATGTGTCTGTTTTTATGCCAGTACCATGCTGTTTTAGTTACTATAGCTTCATAGTATATTTTCACGGCAGGTAGTGTAATGCCTCCACTTTATTCTTTATGCTTAGGATTCCTTTGGCTATTTGGGGTCTTTTGTTGTTCCACATGAATGCTAGGATTTTTTTTTCTATTTCCATGAAGAATGTCATTGTTATTTTGATAGGGATGGTATTGAATCTGTAGATCACTTTTGGTGGTATTATCATTTTCACAACATTAATTCTACCAATCCATGAACACGGAATGTCCCATTTTTAGTGTCTTCTGTAATTTCTTTCATCAGCGTTTTGCAGTTTTCATTGTAGCAATCTTTTACCTTCTTGGTTAATTTATTCCTATTTTATTTTATTCATTCATTCATTTATTTATTTATTTATTGGTAGCTTGTGTAAATGGGATTGCTTTCTTGACTTTTTCTTTTCTTCTAGTTCGCTTTTGATGTACAGAAATGCTACTAATTTTTTGTCTATTGATTTTGTATCCTGCAAAGTTACTTAATTTGTTTATCAATTCTAAGAGTTTTTTGGTGTAGTCTTTAGGTTTTCTATGTGTAAGACCAAGTCATCTCCATACGGACAATTTGACTTCATCGTTTCCAATTTGGATGGCCTTTATTTCTTCCTGTTGCCTAATTGTTCTGGCTAGAACTTCCAAATAGGAGTGGTGAGAGTGGTCATCCTTACTTGTTCCTGTTCTTAGAGGAAAAGTTTTCCTCATTTAGGATGATGTTAGCTGTGGGTTTTTCATTTATGGCCTTTATTGTGTTGAGATCCTTTTTTTTGAACCCTAATTTGTTGAGAGTCTGGCGCGGTCCACACCATGGCAGGATCCTAAAGGAATCAGCATGGGCTGCCCTCTCCAAGTTTGCAACGCCACCGGTGGGAGAGCTGTCGGCAAGGCCACAGCTACGAGCACTTGCTGCAACCGGAAGAGCTGCCTGCCTCGGCTTCGTGGTACTGCTTTTACTCTCTCTTTCAATATTTTGGTTAGCGTGGCAGTTCTCTGAATTCCCAAAAGATTATAAAAATAACACAAATAATTATGTGGTCATTGAACTAAACATTCCCACAGAGGATCCAAGTAAATTGGACAATTTAAAATTATCCCCTTATGATAAATTGACCACACCAACATATGTTCCAAAAGCACCACTCATGACTAAATATGAGCTGCAGCCTAATGTAAGTTGGCAAACATCATTTACTGGAGATTATATTAATGGCAAGAGAATGGTTGGTATTAATGGGAAATTACATGTTTGGGATAAAAATATATGCTGTAAAATTATTAAACCTGCAAAATTAGATCTTAGGAGAATAAGAGAGTACACCTAGTTTTGTGAGGGATGGTGCTGTGCACAAGGACACTTTAATATTTAGATCAACATTATAGGGCCACAGCCAATGCATAACCTCAAAATGTACATGATAATGCTGCTCAATTATCCATTGTTCCTTTTCATTCCATTAGAACAAAAAATCATTAGACCCCCCATTAGAATTTAAATGTTAGCATTGTTCCTTTTAGCAAATTTGTACTTACATTTAACAATAGTCATAGGTTATTTGAGTGTATTGTCTATCACTTTGTAAATGCCACCCTATTAATAGGGTGGATATTAACCACAGCTTGCTAACAGAAAAAGGTCACAAGATAACTTCAAGACAATGAAGGGATGGTTTGAATCTGATAAACCTGATTCCAGGAAAAAGAAGCACGAGTTGATCACCTGAGACGTGCTGACCTCTAAAAAAGTTTCCTCCCTGCTTTTTGGACTATTGATTTAAGCTTGCTGATACAATAAAAATAATACCCAAAACCCTCCTGCACAGAAAAATCTAACATTGTTTCATGCTCTACTGGGCTCCAGCTGCAACACGCTGACAGCCCGCAGAGAGAGAACATGCATATTGATGCATTGAGGTCTCCCTCTGTGTTTGTTATTTTCGCCGACCCTCTCTCTCCCTTTTCGGGTACCCACAACTCGACTGGAGCTGGTCTCCGGCAAGAGTCTTTATCATTAAGGAATGCTAAATTTTATCAAAGGCTTTTCCTGTAGCTATTGAGATGATCACATGGTTTTTGTTTTTTATTTTGTTGGTGTGGTATATCACATTTATTGACTTGCATATGTTGAACCATCCGTGCCTCCCTGGTATGAATTCCACATGATCATGTTTAATAATTTTTTAAATGGACTGTTGGATACTGTTTGCTAGTACTTTGTTGAAAATATTTGTATCTAAGTTCATCAATGATATTGGCTTGTTTTTTATTTTTTTTTCTAGTTGTCTTTGTCTCATTTTGGTATTGGGGTGCTCTCATAGAATGAGTTTGGAATACCCTCTGCTTCAATTTTTTGGAATAGTTTGAGAATTGGTACTAATCTTCTTTAAAAGTTTGGTACATTTCAGCAGTGAAACCATCCTGTCAAGTGCTTTTATTTGTTGGGAGATTGCTGATTTCCATTTCAATCTCATTGCTTGTTATTGGTCTGTTTAGGTTTTCTATTTCTTCTTGGTTCAGTTTTGGCAGGTTGCATGTGCCCAGAAATTTATCCATTTCCTCTGTATTTTCAAATTATTTGGCATACGGTTGTTCATAAAAGTCTGTAATGATTCGTTGTATTTCTGTGGAATTAGTTGTAATGTCTGCTTTTTCATTCTGATTTTTAATATTTGGGTCTCCTCTCTTCTTTTCTTGGTTAGTCCAGGTAGGTAATAGTTTGTCAACTTTGTTTATCTTCTCAAAAAAAAAAAAAAACAACTTTTTGTATCATTGATCTTTTGTATCTTTTTTGATCTCTATTTCATTTAGTTCTCCTCTCATCTTTATTATTTCTTTCTGTCTACTAAGTTTGGGGTTGAATTTCCCTTGCTTTTCTTTCCTTGAGGTATAACATTATCTTGTTTATATGGAATCTTTTGATCTTTTTGCAATAATATTCCTTCTTAGTACTGCTTCTGCAGTATCCCGTTGGTCTGTTGTGCTTGTATTTTCATTTGTTTCAAGAAATTTTTGGATATTCTGCTTCATTTCTTCTTTGACCCATTGCTCATTCAGGAGCATGTTGTTTAACTTCTGTGTATTTGTATAGCTTCCAAAGTTTTATCTGTTGTTCATTTCTAGTTTTATTCCATTGTGGTCTGAAAAAATGCTTGATATAATTTCAGTCTTTAAATTTGTTGAGGCTTGATTTGTAGCCTAACATGTGGCCTATCCTGGAGAATGATCTGGGTAATGATTAAAAGAATATATATTCTGCAGTTGTTGGATAAAATTTTCTATGTCTGCCAAGTCCATTTGGCCTAAAGCGCTATTTAAATCCAATATTCCGCTGCTAATATTTTGTCTAGATGATCTGTCCAATGCTGAGAGAGGCATGTTGAAGTCCCCAACTATTATTGTATGGGGATGGTCTATCTTCCAATTTAGACCCAATAACAGTTGCTTTATATATCTGGGTGCTCCATTATTGGGTGCATATATATTTATGATTGCTATATCTTCTTTCTGCATTGATCCTTTTATCATTATATAATGTGTTTGTCTCTTTTTATAGTTCTTGATTTAAAGTCCATTTTACCTGATATAAGTATGGCACTCCTGCTCGGCTTTGGTTTCCATTTGTATGGAATATCTTTTTCCATCCCTTCACTATTAGTCTATGTGTGTCTTTACTGGTGAAGTGAGCTTCTTTTAGGCAACATATAGGTGGGTCTAGTTTTTTAATCCATTCAGCCAGTCAGTATCCTTTAAGTGGGGAATTTAGTCCATTTACACTCGGGGTTGTTAGCATGAGATATTGCCTTACTTTTGCCATTTTATTAATTTTTTATGTTTGTTTTAAATTTCTTTTGCTTCCGTCTTTCCCTTTTATTGTTGCTTTTGCTGTTCATTTTATTGCAGTGTTAGGATTCGGTTTCTTCTTCTTTCTCATTTGCATATTTGCTGTACTAGTGGTTTTTATTCTTTCTCATTTATTCCTGATGATAGTTTCTACTTTTTTGATTCCAGATGTAGGACTCCCTTGAGGATTTCTTGTAGCACCAGTCTTGTGTGGTGAATTTCTGCAGTTTTTGTTTGTCTAAGAAAGATACTATTTCTCACTCATTTCTGAAGGATAGCTTTGCTGAGTATAGTATTCTTGGTTGGAAGTGTTTTTCTTTTAGCACTTTGAATATATTTTCCCACTCTCTTCTGGCCTATAAGATTTATGTTGAGAAGTCTGCTGTTAATCTGATGGGGAATCCCTTACAGGTGACTTGACACTTTTTTCTTGCTGTTCTTATAATTCTTTGTTTTGACTTTTGACAGTCTGACTATAATATGTCTTGGGGAGGACCTTTTTGGGTTGAATCCCTTTGGGGATCTTTGAGCTTCTTGGATCTGGAAAACCATATCTATCCCAATACCTGGAAAGTTTTCAGCTATTATTTCATTAAATAGGCTTTCAATGCCTTTTCCTTCCTCTTCCTCTTCCAGTATACCCATAATATGGGTATTTGTATGCATAAGGATGTCTAATAAATCTTGTCAGCTTTCTTCATTTTTAGACTTTTTTTTTTCTTGGAAGGTGGGGATCCCACTGGGTTAATTCAAAAAACCCATCTGAAAGCTCAGAAATTCATTCTTCTCCTTGGTGTAGCCTACTGCTTAAGTTCTCAGTTGTATTTTTATTTCATTAAATGAATTCTTCAGTTCCAGGATTTCTGCTTCATTCTTTTTTATGATTTCTGGCTCTTGGCTGAATTTCTCATTCATACCTGGATTGTTGTTGGGGTTTTTTTTGTTTTTTGGGGTTTTTTTGACTACATTGTGATTTCCATATATTTTTCCTTGCATCATGTTGAGTTTGCCTTTTTTCTTTGCCATAAAGCATTTTTTTTATTTTATTTTATTTTATTTTATTTTATTTTTTTAATTTTTATTTTGTCAATATACCCTGTATATGATTATTATGGCCCATCACCGACAATGATTTCTGGCTCTTGGCTGAATTTCTCATTCATACCTGGATTGTTGTTGGGGTTTTTTTTGTTTTTTTGGGTTTTTTTGACTACATTGTGATTTCCATATATTTTTCCTTGCATCATGTTGAGTTTGCCTAAGATTACCATTTGGAATTCCTCTTCAGCCATTTTACTGGTTTCCTGTCATTTGTGGTCTAGTATTGGAGAATTACTGTCTTATTTTGGAGTTGTCATGTCCCCTGTTTTTTCATGCTTCTCATACCTCTGTATTGATATTTGTGTATCTACTGGTGTTAGTTGCCTCTTTTAATTTTTGGAGTAGTTTTTGGAGGGAGAAACTCTTACCTGTAGAAGTGTAATAATTGGGTTGATAGTTGGGTTGGGCATTATAGGTTTGTTTCTAGATGAGTCCAGCTCGCTCTCCACACTATCTCTACCAGGGTAGGATACTCTGGTGGGCTTGTTGAGTTGGGAAGGACTCTGAGCTCCTGGGGGACAGTGGCCTTGAATCCAGGTGGCAAGAACACTCCCTGTACATTCTCTGCTGGGTTGGGCAGAGCTGAGCTACCAGGGGTAGGTGGGCATAGATCCAGGTGGCCACACACTCCTCGCACACTCTCCATTGGTGTGGGTGGGCCTGCTGGGTTGGGTGGGACTCTGAGTTCATAGGGGAAGGTAGGCGTGGATCTTGAAGACTGGTGCATCCCCTGCACACTCTCCACTGGGGTCAGCAGGCCTGCTGGGTTGAGCCAGACTCTGAGCTCCCAGGGGAGGTTGGGCATGGATCTAGGCAAGATCACCATGTGTGGGGGGAGCAATGCATACCCAGGAGGTACCAGCATACTCCCTGAACCTTCTCCACCAGGATGGGAAGCTCCCTCAGTGTCATCCAGCAGCAGCCTAGGACCAAGGGGATTGGGGAGACTCAGCATGCCAATTCAATATTTCAAGATTTTTATTGTGTATTAACTATGTGCCAGGCATTCTTCTAGGTACTGGTGTTGTATCAGTGAATAAAACAGACCAAAAGCCCTGTCTGCATGAAAATTATATTGCCCTGGGGAGACAGAAAAGAAAGTAAATGGATAAAACATTTGGCACACCTATATTGATAGCTATAATGGATAAAAGTAAAATAGGTAAAGGAAATATAGAGAGTTCTAATGGTAAAAGTGCAGTCTAAAATAAGTGTTGGTCAAAGAATACTAACAGGGTGATTTTGAGCAAAGAGCTGAAGAAAATGAGGAAGGAAGACATGTGGGTATATTGATAAAGATCCAGCATTTGGATCCCAGAAAGTAGAAAATACAAAATGTTTGAAAGGAGACATAGCTAGTATATTTGAAGAACAGCAAGGAGACCAGTGTGGCTGGAACAAAGCAAGCAAGGTAGATAATATCAGGAAATGTGGTGAGAGGCGTAAAAGGGAACCAGACTGTGTGAAGTATGTAAGATACTGAAAAGACTATGGTTTCCACTTTGTGAGCAATGGAAGGCCATCCCATGGGGGGTTCTGAGCAGAGAAGGGACATAATCTGACTGGGTTTTAATAGGATTAATCTGGTTGCCATGTTGAGAATTAACTGAAGGGATGGGCAAGGTGTGGAAGCAGGGAGATTATTTAGGAAGCTACGGCAATAATCCAAACCAGATATGATGTTTACTTGGAAATGGATGGGGTCAGCAGAAGCAAATAGGGGAAGAGGGTGGATTTGGAATATACTGTTTGAAGAATAGGGTCAATAGGATTTATTGATGAATGGAATGAGTTATAAAAAAGAGGGGGTTTTGATCTGTAATTTGTGCCCAATTACGTTTGTGTCTGCTTTTCTTATTCTTTAGTTTATATTAGCTCATTCAACAAAACATAAATAAATAATCAATAAATCCCTTAAATATATCCCCTGTGAATCCGGCAAGCCTTCTGTATTAAGAAAGCATTTACTCAATGTAAAACAAGGTTTTTTAAAAATCCGTATAACAGAACTTAAATCTTACCTCAATATTTGAAGAATGAGCATTCACAGATCCTTGATTATACGAATAAACCATAAAATTATCTGCTAAGAAATATCTGCATATAAAAAAGTCAGAGAATTTTTAAATTGTTCTTTTTGAAACAAATGAAGCAGCAGATAGTAAACACATCCCCAGGCCAAATCTGACCAACTCTCTGCTTTTGTGAATAGTTTTATTGAAATACAGCCACATCCATTCACTTACATATTGTCATGGCTGTTTTCACGCTCCAATAGCGGAATTAAGTAGTTTTGACAGGAACATATGGCCCTCAAAGTCTATTTACTGTCTGGATCTTTAGGAAAAATGTTTATCAACCCCTGACATAAGGCATTAAAGGTAGTATTTTCTTTTGACATATATTTAATTTTTATTCAAGGCAATGCACATTTACTCAAATAAAATAATTTTCCTAACTCAATGGACTCCTTTAAAGAAAATAAGCTGAAAGAAGAGGAAAAAACATTTTAAAATTCACAAAGATATAAACTGAATGTAGAATTATGAGACTCTTCTGTTCTTTCACTTTTCCTAAGTTTTCTATTATGCATATATTTTACTTTTATAAGGAGGTGGAAGAGTATTGTCTGAAAGTCAACTCATCTTGGCATGTGTGCTGAAGCTTCGAGTCTGCCATTCCCTGTCCTTGTCATGCTGCTTTAGTTATATGCTTCCTCACCTCATGCTCACTCTTCAGCCCCATGTAACTTGACCACCCAGACTGGCTCCTGTTGGGAGGCCTCCACCAAAACTCATCTCTCAAAGGTTACTAACGACCCTCTAGTTTTCAAATCCAAAAAGCAGTTTGTAGTCAAATAAAACTGCACTGAAGCACTTCACACTGCTGACCACATTCCCCTTCTTTAAACCCTCTCTTCTTCGGTTTCAATGATACCCACTTCCTCCTGGTTCCCCTCATGTTTTTCTGTATACTTTTATAAGTCCCTTTTTCTGGATCCTTCCTTCGTCCCTTAAGTGCTTTTGTGGCATTCACTCCCTGGTCATTTTTCTTTCTCACCTTTAACACTCACCCCCACCTCTATAGATTTATCTTGTTCGTTTCTGCGACTTCATTTACTACCTATTTTAAAAGATGGCTTTGCCTGGCACAGAGGGAAGAATACCACGTGTCCTAACTCAAAAGTGGGAGCTAAGAAAGAAAGAGAGAAGGAAAGAAAGACCACAGTGGTGTTTTGAACTTTCAGAGGGAGAGAACAGACCTAGGGTGGCAGGGGGTGGGGAGGGACAGGGGCACTCGAGAGAAGTTGGGTGGGGGACACATAGAATAATCACAATTTGAGGTGGTGGGTGTGGTGATAGCATTGATTTGCTCACCACATCTTGGCCACAGGTGCTCTACTCAGCTCTTGCCCCATGAATATGTATAATCAATAAAGATAAATAAATAAATAAGTAAAAAAGATGGCTTTGATTACTATACCTTTATAGTATGTTTTGAAGTCTGTTAGTGTGATGTCTCCATCTTTGTTCTTTTTGCTTGATAGCTTTGGCTATTCGGGGTTTTTTGTGGTTCCATACAAATTTTATGACTGTTTTTCTATTTATTTGAAAAATGTCATTGGAATTTTGATAGGGATTGCACTGAATCTGTAGATCACTTTGGGTAGTATGAACATTTTAACAACATTAATTCTTCCAGTCCGTGAACATGAAATATTATTTCTTGGTTTCTTTTTTGGATAGTTCGTTATTAGTGCATAGATATACAATGATTTTTGTATGTTAATTTTATATCCTGCAACTCTACTGAATTCATTTATTGGTTCTAACAGTTTTTTAGTGGAATCTTAGGGTTTTCTATATATAACATCATGCTGTCTGCAGACAGGGACAATTCGACTTCATCCTTACCAATCTGGAGGCTGTTTCTTTCTTTTTCTTGCCTAATTGTCCTGGTTAGGACTTCCAGTACTATAAAAGTGATGACAGTAGGCATCATTATTTTGATCCTGATCTTAGAGGAAAAGCTTTCCACTTTTCACCATTGATTATGATGGCAGCTGTGGGTTTATCACACACGGCCTTTATTTTGTTTAGGTACATTCTTTCTATACCTAGTTTGTTGAGAGGGTTTTTAATCATAAAAAGATGTTGAAACCCATGCCTCTCTCCCATTGTTGAAACTAAATTTACTGCCAATTGAACATTTTGGGGAGAATGTCCCACAAGCACTTCATATCCAGCTTCTCCAACAGTGAGCCCATATTTTGCCTAACTCAGGTCTGTTCCCCTTCTCTCTGGGCACCACCAAATCCCTGTCACCATTTTATCCAATCTGTTAATACAAATCTTTTCCTGCTACTTCAGTCTCCTGGGAGAAAATTCCCTAACTCCACACCGTCATTGCTCTGCTTCTCATGATTTCTCATGAGTTATCTGCAGTAGCTCCCAATGGTCGTCCAGCTGCCATAATCTTGCGCGTGCCCTACCCATCTCGCAAGCTCCCGTCCTCATATTTACTAACACTGTCTACAGTCCTAATGAGATGTCCAAGTTCAATGTGAGTTCTCACTTCCCTCTTATACTCTTCAAAAGTTCTTTGGCTTGCGTTCTCATCTACCATACTCTCCCTTTCTGTCTAAAAGAGGAAGTTAACCTCTTCTTTGAGAGAATTCTTTGGCATCTTACACAATGAATCACTTGTTTATATGGTTCATCTCTCTTTATTTCTCTTCAAGAAATTTCCCCTCAGTCAGAAAACTTCCTGGGTTTTTTTTTTTCTAAAAAATATTCATCTAAGCCTCCTCTTTTTTCTCTCTCTGCACAATGTTTTTTAAAAAGTTATTTATACTCACTGCCTCCAGTTTCTCATAAGCCACTTCTCCCTAATACCATGTAGTTGAGTTCTACTCCCAAACTTTTTTTTTTTTTTTTTGTCTTTTTCCGTGTCCGGCAACGGATCGCAACCCTCAGTGTTGCCCCAGTACCGGACCGGGGACCGGCAACGGGACTGCAACCCTCGGTGCTGCCCCCGCGCCTCGCTCAGCCAGTGAGCGGGAACCGGTCCGTATGTGGGATCCGAACCCTCGGGCGGGAGCGCCGCCGCGCTTCCCAAGCGGCGCACTATCCAGTGTGCCACCGGGCCGGCCCTACTCCCAAACTTTAACTGAAACTTTCCTCTTTAGTATCACAAATTACTTCCAAACTTTCTCAACTGGCTTTACATCAGGAAATTAAATCCTACAGAAAAATTATTTGAATTATTTTTTTCTGTTCTCTGAAGGGTGGCACACAGTACTATTATGGAACAGCGCAAGATGTCATTTCTATATGAAATCTCTTATTCCATGTCCCTCATGGTGGCCCCATCTCTCTGATAAAACCCTAATTGATTTATTTCTTGTTGTGACACCCTGCCCTGATTATATATAACCAGCTGGTCCCCAACTTAATATCATATAGATCAGTCCTCAGGAGGTAAATTTGCAAAAAGACTACTTGAGTCATCAGGACCAAAAATTTAATTAAGTCACAGGACAGCATCTGTTCATCCAAGATAACTAAAACTTTTAACAACTATATTTATTATTTCACATACTCCACTTTTATTACAAGAGTTTCACAGAAATAAAGTGAAATTCAAAACTAAAGAATAAAAAATTACCTTTGCTTAAGGTGCACAGTATACAGTTTCTCATCTATTGGAATAAGATAGGATATTCGGTCCTAGAGAATCCAGAACAACTGAGAGTGAAGATAAATTTAATATAAGAAGCAAAACAACAATTTTATATCAATTAATCCCTCCAAAAACTTCCTCAAACTTTTTTATTAAAATGTCTTGATTAAATGTCTCAGATTACATGTGATTTAAGATCTGTAACAAAATATCAAAAATGTTCACATTTATTTATGATATAACCCATTCTTAACTCTTTCCACCAAAATAATCCCAATCTGAGGGTTTACATAACATTAGAAATCTACATGTAACCGAATTGTAAACTTTTATAAAATAAGACCATGTACTATGCTGTAATGCTTCTTTAGGTGGCATCACTGGAACAATAAGGTACTCTACATTGGTGAAGCTTACTTACTCTGTCAGACAAAAAAATTATTTAATCATTTTCTTAAAAATAATCCTAAAATGTATTGCCTGTTTTCTATTTTTTAAAAAAAACTTTTATTTAGGGCTGGCCTGGTGGTGCACTGGAGAGTGCACCGCTCGCCGCTGTGGGTTCGGATCCCATGTGGAGACCGGTTCCCGCTCACTGGCTGAGTGCGGTGCGGGCGCAACATCGAGGGTTGCGATCCCATTGCCGGTCAGTAAAAAAGACAAAAAGGAAAAAAAACTTTTATTTATATGTATTTGTGGGGTACAGTGTGGGTTATTTTATTTTATTTTACTTTTCAAAATACATTGTACTTGATTTTCATGCCCCTTTACCTGTTCCTCTCCTCCCCCTCCTGTACCCCCCCCCCACATCGTATCTGTGCACTTGGCTTAAATAGTTAAAGGAATTGTTGTGGTTATTCTGTCCTCTTCCCCCAACCCTTTGTTTGTGTGTTTATTTATTTTTTAATTTTTAGCTCCCACAAATAAGTGAGAACATGTGGAATTTCTCTTTCTGTGCCTGACTTGTTTCACTTAATATAATTTTCTCTAGGTCCATCCATTGTTTTGCAAATGGTAGTATTTCATTCTCTTCCATAACAGAGTAGTATTCCATTGTGTAGATATACCACAGTTTCCTTACCCACTTATCTGATGATGGACATTTGGGCTGGTTCCAGATCTTGGCTATTGTATATACAGCTGCAATAAACATGGGAGTACAGGTATACCTTTGACTTGATGATTTCCACTCCTCTGGGTATATTCCCAGCAGTCGGATAGCTGGGTCATATGGTAGCTCTATCTGTAATTGTTTGAGGAACCTCCATACCATTTTCCATAAAGGCTGCACCATTTTGCCACCCCACCAACAGTGGATGAGAGTTCCTTTTTCTCTGCAACCTCACCAGCACTTATCATTCTGAGACTTTTGAATATTAGCTATTCTAACTGGAGTAAGATGGTATCTCAGTGTGGTTTTGATTTGCATTTCCCGGGTGTTGAGTGATGTTGAGCACTTTTTCGTGTGTCTGTTGGCCATTCGTATATCTTCCTTTGAGAGTGTCTTGTTTCAATACATGCATATCTTGAACAAAATTTGGCAGTCTTTGACTCCATAGCCACTATTTTCAAATTAGAGCATGGATGGCAATAGGTTGTAATATCTGTAGGTCAGTGAACCTGACTGATGAGATTTTATACAGTAAAGAAAACATTTGAAAAGCAAGAATTAGAGGATCAGTGGGGAAAAAAAGCATATAAAAATAATTCATTTTTCTGTTTCACAAAAACTGTGGACTAGGATAATGTATTGGGGAGGGTTCTTTAGAAGCAGAGTCTGAAACAAGGATGGCTTTACAAGTGCTTTACTGAGTGAGCACTCTTGGGAGAAACCTACAAGGGAGTGGGAGAAACAGGATACAGAGAGAAATGAAGCTAAAGTAGATCCTGACAGCACCTGGTACAGCCCTGCCCTAGCCATTGACCCCAATGCCCCAATTGACCCCTACCATCCATCTCCCTGCTCTACCGTCTATTCTAGAGTCTCCTCAACCTCAGCCATCACTTCTGCTATTCTGGGTGGCTTACCTGATGGGATGACCCTGATCTTCATCCCAGAGACCCTAGTTTCCGTGCTTTTATCAGGCTGTACTTGCTGTATTTTCCTATTTACAGTTAAAACTAGGCATGGTAATTTTAAGAAAAACCCCAGTGGGTCACCTGAGTGCCAAACACTTGTCTTTCTGCCCACTATTCAGCAGCAACCCTACCTCCTCATGATGATCACAGCAAACCAATCATGCTGCCAAATGACAATTCCTTTTCTTTTCCTTTATTCCTCTCTTCCCTCCTTCCCTCCTTTTTTTTTCTTTTCTTTCTATTCTTTTCTTCTTTCTGTTACTGTTCTACTGTCACAAGGAGCCAGAAATGACAATATGGCAGCTGTAGCTTTAAGTTTAGTGAGAAGTTTACTGTATTTCCTGGTGGACGCATCCTCTCACTGGGATCCATGTAACCTCCAAACCCTCAGATCATAAGGTTGTACATAACGGAATCAAATACGCCAAGTTGTTCACTGAAAGTAATGACAAGCAGGGGCATTTCTACTACAACTTTGTAGTCCTTGGACAGTGGTCATTTGTTTGACACATAGGCATCACTTTAAAGTGTAATACCCCATCTTGGCAATTGTCATCACCCAGCTGGAGCTTGACTTCCTCTTTAATAGGCCAATCCACTACTCTATTGGGCTGACTGCTTCTGGATGGTGACATGTGATATAGATCAGTAGGTCCCATGGTTATGTACCCATTGCCACACTTTATTTGCTATAAAGTATGCTCTACTGTCCTTGATTTGATCTCATGTCCATAAATCAGACCCTGGTGAAACCCTGGATAGTAGTGCTGGCCAATACACTGTAGAGAGTGATACTGGCCAAGTTACTTTGGGCAGGAAAGGCAAACCCATACTCAGAAATATGTATCAAGAACAATAAGCACAAATCCTTGCTCCTTCAAAGATAGAAAGGTTCTGATGTATCAACATATTGACAAATACATGGTTGATCTCCTCAAGAGATGGTACCATATCTGAGGCTTAGCATCAATCTTATTGATAATAGGTTAGACATTCAGAAGTGGCAGGAGCCACAGCCTTGGTGAGAGAGAGCCTATGATGTTGGACCCATGCATAGCCTAATGCTTTCTGACTATAGCTATTTCATTCATAAAGCCATTTGTGCAAGCAGTGGGGCAACTGAGGATAGAGGCTGACTTTCATCTATTGAACATATCACTCTAGCCACTTGCTTGTTACGTGACTCTTCCACAGTGGATGCTCTCTGATGTACATTAACATGAAACACAAGATCCCCACAATTTGTACCCACTGTCATAGGTCCATTCAAATGCCTCTTCTTTGATCTAATCTTCCAATCTTGCTCCTTTCAGGATCTGACAAAACAGCCAAACTATTCACCACAGCCCATGAGTCCATGTATATTTTTATCTTTGGCTACTTCCTTCTCAACACAAAGTGGATTACCAGTTGTAACACCCGAAGTTCTCCCACTTGGAGGATTTTCCCTAACCACTGTCTTTAAGAGCCAACTCTGAATTGAGCTGTAGCATAGCAACAATCCAGTTTTGGTTTGCACCAATGTTCTGAGACAACTAATTAATGAACAAAGGTCTATTTATGTTTTCCTCATTCGTTACATGCTTTTAGGGACCCTTCATAAGTCCATAGGTGTGAGCTAAGAGAGAGGCATTAATGTATACAATAGGGGATGGGATGACATGGAAATCTATTTATGCAACATATTTGTGCCCTCCAAACCTACTGAATCTCAGTCTCAGATGTATCGATGTGCCCAACAACTTTACAATTTGGTGAATCTAATAGTAGCTACTCATGATGGATAGCTTTGGTCACATAGTCATTTATGGTCAGATTCTCCGTCTTTATCAAAGACCAATAGCATGCCAGGAGCTACTTTTTGAATGGTGAATAATTCTCTGCTGAAGATAACATGGCCTTCCTCCAGAAGCCCAGGATTCTGCACCACAACTCTCCTGTTGAGGCTTGCCTGAGACTGCACACAGCATCTGTTTGTACCACAAATACTTCTAATACCATGGGGCCTTCAAATAGTACAAGCAGCAGGGATGCTTGTACTGCAACCTGGACCTTATGTAGAACTTTCTTACTCCAGACTCCCTTTGAAACTAGCAGTCTTCTAAATCATCCAATAAATGTGTCAGAGCAGTATTCCCAAATGCAAATTGAGCTACCTCCAAACGAAAAGAGGCCCAACAGATGTTGTGGCTCTTTTGTAGTGACAGAAGACACATGGTGCAACTGTTCCATTTTGAAGGGATGTGGCAGCATGCCATTGACAACTGGACCCATAAATCCTTCATTGATGCATCAGGCCCTTGAATAGAATTTATCTCCCACCCCCTGAGATGCATGTGTTTTATCAGGGCATCTGAAATACTTGCCAGTTTTCACAGGTCTAATTAACTTTATGTAATTGTTATAGAGGTTCAACATCCTGTTCTACAAAATGTCCAAGTGATCCAGATCCCTTTGACTATATTATGACAGAGAACAGAAGAAATAACATTGCAAAATCAAGAATTTAAACAGTTATCCATCCCAGGCAGATGTGAAATGCTTTTGATCTCCTTTCTGAGATGCTGAAAATTCATTTGCCAGATCAATAGCACTAACTTCTTCAGTTTTCCAACTCTTACAACCAAGCCCTGAGCTTTCAACAACAGCTGCAGGAGATGAGGCTCACTATCAAGCAGGTCCTCTGACATTCACACTTTACTTTAAATTAGTGATTAAATGACCAGAGCCTATAATTTTCTCTTTTCAGTGCCTTAATGGTACTTTGCAATAGCCAATTCCACAATCCTCATAACTACCATTTCTCCTGTACCTGTCAAACATGTGAGCCACTGCAGTAGCCAGTACACCTATTCCATCTATTTACCATCACAGTTTGCTACAAGTGAAAGTCTTAGTAATTGCACTGCTACAACATGGCATAGATTACCAATATTCCTGTCACCAGTAATGGGGCCCTCACTGCCAG